TAGTCTGCAGCTATTTGGTCCCTTTGGTTTTAGTCTGCAGCCATTTGGTCCCTTAGGTTTTAGTCTGCAGCCATTTGGTCCCTTTAGGTTTTAGTCTGCAGCTATTTGGTCCCATAGGTTGTAGTCTGCAGCCATTTGGTCCCTTAGGTTTTAGTTTGCAGTCCTTTTGTCCCTTGGGTTTTAGTCTGCAGCCATTTGGTCCCTTAGGTTTTAGTCTGCAGCCATTTGGTCCTTTAGGCTTTAGTTTGCAAGAAAAAGCACAATGTGAGCTCTTTGTTTGGACATACATCACTCAGTCTTGAATACTGATGAAAAGGTAGATTATGCGGATGAAAAATGTTTTAGGATCCTACGTCTTCACATGATACAAGATTCTTTCAAATGTCTTTAACTCAAATTAAGTCTGGTGACTTGTGTACCAGTTTTTAAAAGTTGGGTCACAAACCAATTCTGCATCCCATCAGTCCATAAAGTTTGCAGGAATAAATATCAGTTTTAGACCAACTATTCTTCATGACAAATTGGTCAGTTAAGGTGTGTTAGTCCAAATAATCAGATTCCTTAATAAAGTCCAGTAACACAATGTCCAATTAACATGATAATATTTCTTACCCGCCCTAACTGTTCAATATTGTCTGAGCGTTTCCGTCTGATTTCGGCCTCTGCTGCTCCCACAGCACGCACATGTTTCTTCCTAGCTGTTTCTTTAGACTGCGCATCAGAGTTATTCCTCTTTAGGTTGGTGCCTGGCTGAATATCGGTCATGACACCTAGACTCTCTGGGCTTGAGCGTTGTCTAGCATGGATTATTCCTTGGGGTAACTGTAACCAAGGACAATCACAACAAATAATTAATTCATACACAAAAAAATCATAAATGAACAACTACTGTACCCTACAAGACTGTCTCATCAGAGTAACAAGTAGAGTACATTTCTTTGTCTGCAACCTGCATACTTGTACTGGGTAATTATGGTACAAACCGCCAGAGAGTGGGGGGTTCAATCTTCCTATTGCTGAGGCTGAGCATTAGTTTCAACTTGAACTGATTGATGAATTTCTTATTTTTTCAAATCTGCTTACGTAGTTCAACCTCAAGATTCAAAGGGTTGTCAAGATTCTTTCTTGTTTCAAAAAGACACTTCAGGTACATGATAATGTTGAATAATCCTTGAATCTCTCTGCAATGCGAGCGGTGGTACCAAGGCCTAAGTAATCTGATGATGTCTGAATCCTTAAGATCTGGGTACTTCTTGTATTGAGCACATGTAAAAGACTGAGCTTTGGTCGGTTGCCCTGAATGGATATACTGTAAATAATTGAATGTCATTCTGAGTAGTAACACATTACATTGGTAAGGGAATGTACATACGTACATGTACTAGGAAGAAGGGACTCTTACGCTGATTGACATTGTGCATAATTAAGCTCTATGGTGAAAGAACCCTTCCTGGCTGACCTTACATAGAAGACACTTCAACAATGTCTTCTTTCTTATTTGTGAAATGACACCTTCAAAGTATATGTTACATGTAAGCAATGTACAAAGTTTGATGTTCATATTGGCCTGTGTGTTTTGCTCATTCACAAAGCAGGATCACACACGTGTATCTACTTGTCAACATTTCTTACACAAAACTAAACCTACAAAGGCAAGATTAGAAGGAAGCTGAACCATCACACCTACTTTCTGTGGATAACAGACATAAGGTGTGTTTGGACATTCTCGGAGCATACTGTAGGTGTTAAGTTTTATTTGGTTGATTTTAATTATCCAGACAAGGAATTTACTGGGTGTAATTCTGACTTCACAGCATTTTGACAATTTAACAAGAAATTTGTTGCATCTCAAAACACCCCAAATATATTCAAGACTCCTAAGCTGTAATGTTAAGCATACCGGTACAATTATAAACTTTTGACAAATAAACAATTTTCTCAATAAATCCATATTAAAGTCCTTCTACAGTGAATTCACAATCACACTCAGGGATTTAGTGTTGTTACTGCTGGCAATTTCTAATTTTACTGCAAATAAATCCTGTGATCTGTTTGTTGATGCTGCTTAATACAGGCAATCTAATATCCTGAAAAAGAAGATATCTCAATTAAAAATGGAAGCCAGGGTTTAGAGAGTGGCAATTTGGAACAAGAAATATCTCAGTGAGTGGACTTTGGAGAGGTGAAACATGTGAACGTATTACTTGGTAGGCACACTAAAACAATCATACAAAAACTGGAGCAAACATTTTAAAGTGCAGAGAAAATAAATGTGCATGTGTCATCCACTTCAAGATCTGTTCCCTATATCATTTGAGGTCAGAAATTTTGATTTGTAACACACAAAATCACTGCAAAGCCATCCCCCCAAAAAAAGAAAAATAAAGACCGACGTAAATAAATAAATTTAAGGAATTTCATTTTTTTGAAAATGCTACTTACACACAAACAAAATGTACGTCTGTGCATTACCATAAACTGACTGATCAAAATCTTCAACCCCAATCTCACTAAATGACAAGTACATGAACATAGGGGCATGTGGCCGAGTGGTTAGGATTTGTTGGTTCTGATCATGGGGTCGGGGGTTCGAATCCAGTTGTTGGCAGCATGTTGTGATCTTGGGCAAGTGCCTTTATCCCTCACATGCCTCCCTCCACCCAGGAGTAAACGGTACAGTGAGAGAGCAGACATGGTCAGCCATTTGTGTGTCATATGGCAGTACTGTGCTAGTATACTCCCCATGGGGCTGAGATGGTTTCAGGAATGTTCAGATGATGTGAGCCAAATATGCTGGGACAATAATACATTGACGCCTTTGAGTTACAGATATCGGTGCTGTACATTCACCATGAGACACTGAGCCCTAGAAGTGCTTTGATAGTATTATTACATGAGTAGTCTCCACTGGAGAAGCCTGCGTTTTAATAACTTTAAACGGATGATGAACAGTGAGAGAGGTGAAATGACATAAGTCGTCCCAACTTCATCTCTCAAGCCACGATACTGCATCCTGTTGGGTTAGTGTCATTCAGTTAAGTAACCACACCTGGTTTTAGTACCACACCCAACTAGGCATGTCTTCACTCACCCATGATCTACTTTCTGAAGTTTTACGCTTATCTTTGTGATTCTGCAAAGTTTTCTGAAATATCAAATAACAAGTATACAAGATAAAGGACCTTCTGGCTCAAAATAATTTACAGGTGTCAACGGAATGTTAGCACATGTAGACTTTTCACATTTCCATTCTAGACCTCCATTTTCTGCATTTCAATACTTTCTTCCTTTATGTTACAATATATTCTCATTCTTTCAGTCACACCGTGGTCGAGTGAACATAAAGCATCCCGCCCTATCTATCAACGGAGGACTTTCTTCTATGAACTCGGCAGAGGTTTACATGTAAATGAGACACATTCTTACTTCTTGTGGCTGTGCATTCTTGTTTCTATTTTCAACTTCCAGGTCAGAAGAGCTGGCAGAATCTCGAATCTCCGTTGTCTGTACATGTACCTGATCAGGTCATTCAACAAACAACAAATATATTACACTTTCTGGGTCTCCACCATGTCCACAGCTATTTCAGTTCAAGCAAAATACACCTATGACGCTGCATTCTTCATGCTACACACTCTGCACGCAGGTCATCAATTAAAATAATACCTGCCATAATTACCGGTATGCTTGAGGCCATAACATAGAAATGGTCTATAGTCAATATTCCTGATTACTTGAGGGCGCTGTGTGGCATATCCACAGCCAACACAGCTTGCTACACAATAGTGACCGAGTATGGACTGGTATATTGTCCATGTTTCTGACTGTTTCAATGAAGATTTAGGGATACAAGCTATTGTTAAGCATTTTACAAGTAGCATCTGACCTTAGCCTGTTGCATACTGGCTGCCCGATTCAGTTGGGTTTCCAGAACTTTAATCCTCGTGTTAATTCCTGCTAATTCCTTCATGAGTTTCTCTGATGGGTTGGCTTCATACTCTGATTTCATTTTCTACAAGACAGAGGAAAGTGGTAGACCATGACAAGTTATAAATGGGCTTCTGTTTGGTGAGAATGCTTAATGATGTCAAATCAATTCAATAATTCCCAAGCTGCTGTCTGTCATATAACACTGACCGGGGTGAGATTGACCAATGATAAAAATAGCTGAAAACAGCTGAAAAAAAGCATAAAGAAGCTGAATTGTGAAAATCTCCTACACTTTTGTACACAGCCAGTGAGGAAAACAAGCTGAAATCGGCTTTAAAAATGGGTGAAATCTCACCCCTGGACTGATGGCGATTAAGTAATTAAAGTTGGGAATTAATAATAAGACAGCTATGGATTTGAACTTGGTCCTTTAGTGTTTACAGTTTTTTAGTATGCTGTAGCCTGTAGTGTTGGGCGGTTCCAGAAGTCTCAGAGCCCGCTCCGGCTCCAGCTAAGGACTGCAATTCCGAGTCAGAACCGGCTCCCAAAGATATAAAGAAAAACATAAGGTTTCATAAAACACATTAAAAATCTGTCGCTGCCATGCCGCGCGCATCACACCGGTGCCACTGCACTCAATGACCAATGGCACAACAGACTGGCTTTTGGCCTTTCGTGGGCTTTAAGATTATCCACAGAGAGTATTTTGAATTTCATTTTTACGTCTTCATAGACTAGTCATGGCTGGAATAAATCTGCAACATATATGTACAACCATGATACAACTCAGCACTGCATCCTCCTGCACTAGTTTCCACTCTACGTCCATGTATAAAAAGTCTTTAACCCCAA